AAACCTGTTAAACCTTTTCCCTGGTCTCCCTGTTTGGTCTTCTGCATTTGGGTCTGAACTTTAGTTAAATCACAACAAAAAGGATATAAAATGGCACAGTAAAAACGGATTGAATTACTTTTTCATTTTTGTTATAGGGACAGGCATTAACAGTCAGATTTGTGAATTGTGGTTTTTAAATTGGAAATAGGATTTGGAGAAAAAAACATTTTTTGCAGAGTCCATCCATATTTTCCTGCTTAGTCAGGATCGCCGTGCGGTGGGAGCTTATCTCCAGCAGTCTATGGGCCAGAGGCAGGGGCAACACAGAGACACACAAGTGCAATATGCAAGAAAAGGAAACAATCCACTGGTCTTTGTTACCAGGTTTAAAGATGTTTCGCTTCCCATCCAGGAAGCTTTTTCAATCCAAAATGTCAGAATTAGCGTTGAGTTCCAGGCTTCATAGGGTGGACCAACAAAGCCTTTTTTTGGCTTAGAAAACATTCAAATTGAACCGGAAAAACAGGTCCGCCCCTTAAGAATAAGGTGTCTTTGAGGTCTTTGATAGCTTGCAATACCTTGTACTGGTCTATGCCTCTGAAAGGGGGGAGTCGTTAGGAGAAATTGTTGACCTTGCTGACCAGGTGAGAAGTCTTGGTCCCCTGCATGGCCATGATTATTATGATTCAAGGGGTGAAACGTAAGGTATGTCTCAAAAACCTACAATGCAGTGTTAAAGTTTATTCCTTCCCACTATCATAATCATCATGGCCATGCAAGGGGGAAAAAGACAACTAACCTGGTAAACCAGGCCAACAATACCTGTAAAGACTCTGCCCTTTTAGAGGCACAGGCCAGTATCAGGTAATGCAGTGGATAGAGGGAAAAACATCTGCCTCTACAAACGTCTGTAACTAGGTTTGGTAAAGAAGGATCTGCTTTTTATCCACGTATGGAAACAAACATTAAACAACAATAGTGCAAAGTGGGGAAAAAAGTTAAATGTTGAAAACTAAGTGTCCTAGAACAGCCCTGAGGCCAAACAGATGTTACAGGATGCATCAGGTCTGCTCCTTGTCCCTGATCCTGCCTGTGGTGTAACCATGCAGTTTGGCGTGGAAAGCTCAAGCTCTCATCTATGCTTTTTTGCAGATGATGTGATTCTGTTCTGTTCTTTCTGGGTCAGAAACAGCTGGATGTTCCCTCTGGACCCAAAAAGAGTCTCTATATTCAGGTATATTTGTCTGATGATCACTCAGGAGCAAAAGCCTGAGGTCCCACCTGTAGCACACAAATATTCACCCATTTGTTGTTGTTGTTACAGGAAGATCCACCGTCACCAATGAATGGATGAAGACGGCATTCAGAGTCCTGAAGCCAGAAACAGGTTCAATCGGACTCTTAAGCAAACACTGGAAGGCTGCAGAGATGCTGATAGAGACCAACGCTCTGTTAGATTATAAAACAGGTGAAATAAGACCTGAGGAGAACAACCCTTCGATTTAAGGAAACCAGAGTCCCAGAAACTGGATCTACCGCCGCCTTCAGCAGATCAGTGCCTCTTTATGTTGGTTCTTTGTATTTTTGTGTTAACCTACAGTAAAATGTGACAGTCTGGTGTCATGTTGCAGGTTTTCACCTGTTTTGTTCTCAGTTTAGTAGAAATATCCCCCTGAGAACCTTCATGTCTATAAAAAGGTTCAGGTTCCCTTAATTCAGCCCTTTGTGGATATAAGAACGTCTCAGAGATAATCAACCAGGCCGGTAAATATAAACTAATTGGATTAAGTCTGATTCCAGTAAAGGATCGGTCCAAATGCTTCTTCTGAACACGTCTCTGGTATCGTCAGCTT